GTCCTAAAACTTCTCCCGCTGTTTTAAGACTTTAATGTATATTTCTGAGACTGAAATGAGGGAATATTTATTTTTCTGTATCAAATTTGACGTGAAATTATGAATCAAATCCTGAAAGAAACAGAAGCTGTTTTATTTTATTATTAATTTATTTTAGCAATAAAACTTATAATAAGACAACTTTTACTGCTTCTATTACATTCTGGTCAATATATATAATACAAATCAAAGCCTCTGCCTGCACTTTCAAAATAAAAGCGTCTGCCAATAAGTTAGATATTTATGTGTTTAAGGAATCAAAGTCTTCTACCAGGATTTATTTGTGTAATATTATTTTATAAATTGAGCTTTTAGATATAATTCTTTGTAATTGTTGTTCCTGCTTTTAAAGTAACATGTGCTTTTATTTTGGAAGCAGACCTCGCCTGGGTTCCAGATCCTGGACGCCTTCCAGCTTCATATAAATCATCCTGCAGAGCGCAGAGCAAGTAAAGGTTCTGATGGGAACACATGCAGACATGAGTCCTCCTCCCAAAGACGTTAAAAATGAAACTGAAGCTGGGACAGCAGATGCAGTTGGGACGGGGACCAGAACTTCCAGTGGGGTCCGGGTTGCAGACGGCACTGTAAACGGGTGTAGAGCCAGGAATGGGGCTGTAGACGGAGCCAGGAATGAAGCGGCAGTTACAGACGGACAAAGACCACCACCCTGCGCCCGCCACCCCTGGAGCGTCCACCCCAGGTCCAAAGACCGGCGGTACCGCAGCAGCCACCGGTTGGTGCTCCACTACCTGGTCCCCTGCATGAGCTCCTACGGCATGTGCATCATCGACAACTTCCTTGGGAGCAAAACCGGGGACCGGATCCTGCAGGAGGTCCAGGAGCTCCACCGCGCCGGGAAGATGCGGGACGGCGAGCTGGCCAGCAGGGGGCTGGAGCGGACCAGCAGCATCCGCGGGGACCAGATCGTCTGGGTGGAAGGGAAGGAACCGGGCTGCGAGAACATCGGATACCTGCTGTCCAGGATGGACAAACTGATCACCTACGCAGACGGGAAGCTGGGAAACCACAAGATCAGAGGGAGGAACAGCAAGGTCAGTACCTGGTCCTGGACCCACAAACACATGCAGACCCCCCTGACCCACCCTGACCCCCCCTTACACCTCCCCTTGTCCCCCTCCTCGTCCCGCCCCGTCCCCCTATCTGAGAGTTATCTGTGCTTAACCTGCAACCAATAACATACTAACATCTTCCTCACGATCAGATATCCACTTTATGACAAATACTGAATACTATGAAGTCCACTCAACGTCCTTTTCCACCTTTTCGCCCCTCCTGTCTGCAGCTGAAATACGCACTGTCAGACCGACTGCCCAAGCTGGACACCCATTTCTTTAAACTCTTATAATATTCCCGTGTGGGCCTGCTGTCATTGGCACAAACACGAAGCCTCCACGTAGAGCGGGAACAGGATCAGTCACAATCCAAGGGCACTGTAACCATGTGGGCTGAACGGGGGCCGGGGTCTCAGAGTAAAGAGGCTGAAAAAGCACATTAATAACCACAGGTTTGAAATTGATGATTGATCAATGATTTATTGTATGCATAAGGAAGGTGTGTAGATGTTTACTATAGCAAACAAAGTAAGTACAACTGGAGTCATGGAAATAACACCAAGCAGATAATCTATTATTATTAGTATTATTAGTATTATTATTATTGTTATTGTTATTATTGTATTATTATTATTCGGGGGGCAGGACTGAATGTGGGTCACCGTTGCTTTTTATTCCCCAATCTATAAAGATATAAGAAAACAGTAGCAAAAAGTTATTAACAGCAATAAAAGATATAAAAGAATCAATAAGAATATCAGTTCAATCCCTGCAGAAAGGTTGGAATGGCAGCACCCCCAATTCATATTTAATTAAATTATTATTATTATTAGCATTATTATTAATTATATTAATATACATAATATTATCATTATTATTGGTTTATTATTTATTATTATTATTATTATTAACGGCATTATTACGAATCCCTGTTTTGGGTCCTATCCAGCTCTTATCAAGCTGTTCTCAGTTCCTTCCGGGCGGCGTGGTCAACTCCACGTTCAACTGTTTACTTCCCCTCCGCGAAAGGGGGAGGGACCGGAGCGCGAGGGAGGGAGGGAGGGAGGACGCGCAGCGCGGAGGGAGGGAGGGAGGGAGGGAGCGCGAGGGGCTAAGCATGCGAACTCCCCGGAGTCGCTCCCATGGCGGCGGGCACGCCCCAGCCGCGCGGGCAACGTAGCAGAAGCGGAGCCACTTTTAACCCGGACCAAGCTGATCCATCAATACCGATATAAATTCGTTATTGATTAATAATCCTCAGCCTGTACAGTTTTGTGAATTACAGCTCAATTGATTCATTCTCACCTGGAGCCTCCCTTGATTACATATTATATATAATTAATATTAATATTATATTATATTATAATTATATTAGATTATATTAGATATTAAATTAAATGATATATTATTGATAGATTATAGATTATAGATTATAGATTATAATAATAATACTAGTGTGTGAGGTTATTGGGAGCTCTGACGTGTGTTTCTACAGAGGTGTGAGAAAGTGAAACTCCCCCAGTGAACGTCTCATCCAGCACGTTCACCCTCACCCTCACCCGGAAATCCGCCTTCAAAGTAAAACCTCCCCAATGCCGATAAAGAGTCGGATAACAATTATTTTCAACTAGACAATTATAATTTATTTATAAAGTGATTGTTTAATTAATTAAAATATTTTTTAAAAGCTTTTTGCATGTTTTTCCATCAGCAGTCCAAAACTCAAGACATTCAATTAAATTATAAAAACGTATTATTATTATTATTATTATTATTATTAATAATGTTATTATTATTATTTATGGATTTTGAAGGTGAGTGCATGTTTTCTGCCCCAATGTTTACATTTATTATACAGCACAAAACTAAAAGCACTGAGTGAAAGTAAACATGATGAGCGCTATATATATATATATTTATTTCATTACTTTATTATAATTACCATCAGTTGTCCCCGACAACCTAAACATATTATTTGCTGTATCTCTAAAACCTCCCTGCTGTACTCCAGTATCACTGCGTCTCCATGTGAACTCAACCAGCACAAAGCTACTGAATGTGAACCGGACAGTCACATTATTATTATATTATATTATATTATATTATATTATAAAGGATCAATAAACAGGATCAATAAACAGATCAATAAACAGGATCAATAAACAGATCAATAGACAATATAGAGTGATGGTGGTGAGTTCACACTCCGGATAAAGTGAGGAAACACCTGGAGGGCTGCGCTCATGTGCGATGCCTTTATTTTGAAATCGCTAACCGGAAGTGGTGCGTTAGGATTCTGGCCCCTTGCCGCCAGTGTCCCTCCTCAATAAGAGCTCGGTGACAGCGCGAGTCAGTCTGCAGAGAGACAACCAGCGAGTCCGTTATCGATCAGAGCGCAGCTGGCAATAATCGATCAGAGTGATCAGAGAGTGATCAGAGAGTGATCAGCTCTCCCCTGTCAGTCACACAGCCTCACTCCGCTCTGTCAGAACTTTGTGCCCCCCCCACCGCGGTCAGGATGCCTTTCATCGACCACGTCTCGGACTCGGACCTGGAGCGCTTGGCTCTGGACCGGGTCGTCCCGGGTCTGCTCGCCTGCGGGTTCTGCTACGTGGACGGTTTCCTCGGGGAGCTGGCCGGGGACGCCGTGCTGGATCAGGTGAAGGACATGCACCGGTCCGGGGCGCTGCAGGACGGCCGGCTGGCGGGCTCCGTCCCCGGCGTCCACCGGAGGAACATCCGCGGGGATAAGATCCGCTGGGTGAGCGGAGCGGAGCGCGGCTGCGAGGCGATCAGCTTCCTGCTCAACCTGATCGATAAGCTCATCTCCGTGTGCGCCAGCCGGCTCGGGTGCAAGGCGATCCGGGAGAGGTCCAAGGTAGGGTTCTGGATCCGGATCTGAACCGTTTTATAAAGTCTAGTTTTATTCTTAATGATCTGCCAATAAGGTTGAAAAGTAGCACAAGTTTTAATCAATCAATTATATTGATCACCGGATATTGAACCTTTGTAGAGGTTAATCAATATGTAATCAATATTGATTAGATATTGATTAGATATTGAGCCTTTCTCATTAAAGACCAGGATCTTGTAACTATTGGCTGTAGTTTGTTAATGAAGATAAAATGTCCTGTAGTTCTGCAGACACGTTGTAATCAATAAATTAGTGATGCTGAGACAATCGTTTAGTATTAATCACCAATCACATGTCATCAGTCTGGTATTGAACCGTGTGGTGCAGCTCTGGTGTTTTTATTGATTTATTTAGTAAATAAAAATACAAAATAAAACTGCAGCTTCTGTGTAAACAATCCAACATCCGTCTGAAACTGGAGGAACAGAATTATAGATAATGTGCAGCGACGCAGCGATAACCGATAATCAATAACTACCTGATTCTCACGGCCGATATGGATTAGATAACTGATCACTGTTGTATTTTAATAATAAGTTCATAATGTAGTTTCTGCACAGCTGATGATAAATGAAGAGATATAGTGAGCGAAGATGGAAGATTTAATATTTAATGACTATTCTAAACAAATCTGACATCACTGTTGTTTACAACAACAACAAACAACAACAACAGCTCTGACTCCTCAAATGTTCATTAGTATTTTCTGGTACTTTCACAGAACATAAAGTCTCAATTGTTTAGCAGAAGAATTTAAAATAAATAAGTTTTAATATAGCTGATCATTTATAATCCTTTAAATGTCCCGTTATCGGTTGATCATTTATCTGCCCTGATGATTATCGTACATCCCTAATAATGTTTGTTCTACCAGCTGTAGTAGTTGAGAAAAATGTCAACAAATATGTGGATTTAAAAGTTAATATTTAATATTGTTACAGATTTAACATAAAGCTCTGGAAGAGTTTATTTACCGTCTGAAATATGATTCATGTCGGTGGTCGAGATCGGATCAGAGATCTTTGACTTAATGTTGATTAAAGTTGTATGCAGAATAAAACATTAATAAGTGATTTTTAATGACTAATAAAGAGCCAATATGCTGCTAATAAGCAACTAATTAATAAAGAACGGTGGTCCCGTAGACGTCGGCAGCAGCTGGAATCAGCAGTTCTCAGAGTGCAGAGTCTCTGTGTTTTCATTTTAGTATGTAGGCCACTTGGCAGCAGTCCAGCGACCCTCCTCTGGGCCCTGAGCCAAAGCTTTTGGAAACTACAACAGGAAGGACATTTACTGGATCACTGGGGTCCTGTGGGCGTCCTCCACTGCGGCGGTGGCGTGTAGATAAATCACTCGGGCAGGCGTGTTCATGGCGTGTAGAGCGAATACGTGCAGGAATTAGGCGGATCTTTCCGGAGTGCGTGAACCTGAAACAAAGATGGCTTCTTCCAACGTGCACAAACAGCGGATCAATGAGTATATAGGTTCCCAACCCGAGGGCCCCGACCCCGACTAACGGTCACCAAAGCTTCGCAGGGGGTCGCGAGGCCTTCTTGATTTTAAACTTTAAACAACCGAACAGCTAACGGAACAATGAGAAGATAAAAATAAGCCTCTTAAGTCTTTATGATTGTTAAAAGTATAATTAATACATAACACAGACAGAGAATTGTATTAAAAGTTCCTAAAAATATAATATAATATGTAAAAAAATTCTAATCTCCTCCAAATATTCCTACAGTGACATTAAATATCCATAAAATATATATCGGTTTGAAGTCACAGTGCAGGACACTGGATGTTGGACTGTCATTGTTTGTCCATCAGAGAGACGCTGGCGTTGATCAAAGGAAGCGATCAGCTCGAACCATTACGATGGATCGGTAGTGAAAGTGTACTCGACATTACAACGAAACCTTCTGGAACAAACACCCAGGAGTCTCATTTCAACTCAGGTTCTCATCTTTAGTCAGCGGTTTTTATTGTTTAATCAGCGTTTTTGTCGTTTTTTAAAGCTAAAATTCGGATCGTTTGCTGCTCGTCAAACGTGAGGATTTCTTTTGTC